GTGTGTCGTGTGTGTGTTGTGTGTGTGTGTGTGTGTGTATGTGTGTGTATGGTTGGAGTGTCCGGCGAGTTGGGTTGATAGCTAGATAGTGTAGTGATCTAAAAGATACACACGGGAAATCCCAGTCTGGGTGTAGACGTACGCAAAGAACTTCTGAGCGCGCCGAGAAGTTTTACTGCAATGTAGAATTGATCACAAGCTCAATAGCCTACAAGTATTCTTAAATAAAAATGCTGTACCTAAAAACTATCTCGGGTATACACATGGTTGTCATATTTACTCGGTTTGCGGGTCCTCATATGCAGGCGTCCACTCAAAAGGTGGCGTTGGTTGCACCGAAAGTGGTGAGAGCGATCAGCACAGAACAGATCGAAGGTCTGTCTAAACAGGCACGTCGAGTCGAGGTCCAGGAGTCCAAGCGAGCGTTGATTCTTGGTAAGTGAACGTATATTCCTATTTGAGAAAGCGCATGGGGTAGCCCAATATGTGGCTAAGCTTAAAAACCAGCAACAGTGTGTGTGGCACTTTCTGTAGCCAAACACGCAGTCGAAGTCTGTACATGTGTGTTTCATATGTATATACGAGAGCACCAGGCTGCTCTGTGCGTCCTCCTTCAGCACACGAGGTATAACACATGTATAGGGCGCATGCACGAGTGCGCATACAATAACCTTGTAGGACAGGGACCCAGCACCCAAAGAAAGAGGATATGCCGTAGCCGATTTGCGCATGTCTTTGCGCTTAAGTCATTTGAATATCTCGATATACACAGCAAACCAAGAGAAGAAGAATGCCGAGAAACAACTCAGGCATGCCAAGAACGCCCTGGCCAAACAGAACGACGAACTAGAAGCACTCGAGCACCAGCTGATGGATCAGGTACGCGCAATAAAACGAATGTCAGACACCACTGCGCTATATATGTATCAATAGATTCATATACATTAAGGTTTGTGTATAGTTGTGTTTTAAAGTGTAATCTTCACAGCTCATTAGTGATTTGTATACATAACGGGAGGTGTGATATCGTACGCGATGACTTGCTGGTTTCTATCACGATCAGTTCTTCTAACACTTACGTACATTATATACTGTTGCGGCGAGAATTGGCTTCGTTGGCACACTGATACGTTCATGTGTGGCGTATAAAACAGTTCTTCTTTGTATTTAATCGTCCCTTTCATGACTATTTTAGTGTGCATTTGACATCTTAAGGTAGATTTGATTGTCATTCTGATATCGGTAGTTATGTAATTTGGGACTGTGTTGTCGTCTTGCACATCTGATCCAATAGGCATACCGAAACCCTCAATATTCACACATACACAATTGAGAGTGCGCGAGGCCTACATACCTGATGCTATAAGAATTTATGACAGACATTGGGTTGCATTTTTTTTTAACTCAGCAGTAGTTAACAAGAAATCATATGCACACACCATACCTGGTAGACTGAATCGAATCTCGTGTTTTGAGGTGCAAGGTAGTTAACGTTTATCAAGCAAAACACATGTGCGATGGGCTAAGTTAACCATGTGCAGAAAGAAAGGTGACTCGTATCCGTAATCCTTTTTCATCAATACTTTTAAATACGTTTACTGTGCGATAGGAGGCGAAACATCAAGAAGCCATTCGCAACCTTGAATCGGACAACAAAGAGTTGAAAGCGGACAATACACACGCGCACGAGGTGTATTTGCAACTGAGAGACTCGTACGAAGCCCACAAAGTTGATATGGCAACGTAAGTATCTACGTATATATGCACACATGTTCATGAATGTGACAAAGCCGACATAGCAACGCAAGTATCTACGCATATATGTACACGTGTACATATATATGTCTACTGCGGCGAATACAGTTTACAAATCTGTATTTGACAGTACTGGTGTGCGGCACGCCGTTCCATTTAGACACGAACAATGCAATGTCGGTCCAAGAGATTGGCACCCTCAACCATGTGTGCATGAAATGCATGCAGTTCATGGATACGCGTGAGACGCTGCGGAGCATTTAAACGACGGCGTAGTTGTGAGTGCGTACGGATGTATCCGTCTGTACTTACTTCTGCATTCGCATATATGGCTGCATCCTGTCAAGGTGTTGCTAGGCTACTGTATATGCGCATGGCGACTATTGGCTGTTGAATGTCGCGAGGTTTGCAAGAATCAGGAGCAAACTCTGCAAAACTAGATGCAGAATTAGATACAGTATGTGCTTATGAGAGGGTGAATGGATCACTATATTCGAACGTGAGTATGAATACATCCTTCTATAGGGTGTAAACAACGTGCACATATTGATTGATGCAAGCGCCATGGAGACAGTTGGGATGGGTAAGCGGACGATGGATAGTTGTGCAAACTGCGGTGTATGAACATATGTTGTGTCTCTGAAAGTTGGTAGTTGGGAAACTGCATGGTGTAATATATGGAGCTTGTGAGGCGTATCTGTGACATATCAATATGTTATTGCCAAGGCAAAAGCACTGCATATAAACCCCGTTAAAAACTTCCCTGTTGGAAGGCACGAGTTGGGTAAACGTTTGCCGCAAAAAAACTTGAGCTTGTAGCTGTCGCTATTGGACGATTTACGTAGTCATTACAATTCATAGACGGATACATACTTCTAAACCATGGGGGTATATATTTGGAGATTAACATTGAACTATAGGAATACGGTGGATATCGAAAGTTCGAATGAGTTCACTTCATGCCCATCATACGATGTATGAGAACCCCGCACCAACCTTTTACAATCACACACTACGAACGTATGCGCACGATGCTGACACACGACTCACAATATAGCCTACAAGCAACATGCGACCGAACTAAAGGCGAACTAGAGGAAGCCCAACAGAAACTAACTGAGAGCCAGAACAAGATGGAACAGCACCGACAGGACGCTAAAGCTCAGCTCAAAGCACTCAACGTATGTACTTGCCTGCGTGTCACTCGCGGCTGCTTGGTCATTCTGCATGCAGTCTTCCTACACAGGTTCAGTTAAATGATCTCAACACAATATAGGATTATATACATAAATGCTTATGTATGTATATGTGTGTATATACACGTTACTATACACACTGATTAATGCGCACGTACACGTGCTGTTCTTGCAGTCCAATAGCGCAGTGGTCCGTTTGATTGTGTACTGAGCGTTCGATGTTATTTTCTGAATGTGTTCAAACTGAAGTTCGTGTATAGATGGGTAATCGAATATGCATATGTGAATATATAACAGTATCTAGTTTTAAACCAATCACATCAATTCAAATTCAAATATGCTCAAATTTCTTGATGCACAAGTTTAAAAGATGTTTTTGAGTCCGTTTTAGGCATCCAGAAAACGTATGCGAGCTAAATATGTCAACGCGATGTTCTTTTGAAGTGAATATACAGAGCAATAAAATTTAAACTGTACTTAACGTGTATGTGGATCATACATCACTACACGATTCAAAAAAAAAGGAATGTATACGATAATTGATTAACCCCAATCCACACGTGATATCTTTGACAGGAGACACGTAAGCGAGCCGACAACTGCGGGACATGCACATCACTGCGGTCGGAAGTGTTGGTATGTCACCGGTACACGTTTATATGGAGGTATGACTACGAGCTGGGACGAATATGCATATATGTATATACGAATGTCTGAGTATCGTCGCTTCAATCTTTTGTCCCCATGATTGTGCGTTTTACACAGATTGATTGACGTTTGCGCGGTGTTACATCATGGTCAGGGCATTGTGTGCATAGAATAGCAAATATTGAGATCATGCGTATATATGGTGTTTTGAAATATACGTATGCATACGTCTGAGTCATGGGCGTGTTTCACTTATCGGGCTATGTACATGTTCACAAATGTGTATGTCCGAGATATGCCATATAGCTCTGAGGCACTCTTACAAACGCTTACAGTTTTAAACGGACGCGTCTGATGGGCAAATTGAGCTCTTATCATGTGCACTGATCTCGGGTCTATGTTGTAGATAAGGCGAAGGGAACGTTTGGACACACTCACAAATAGTCACATCTGCGTCTTCGAAGAGAAGTATATCCCTAGAGGGGCATAGCTGTCCTGTTGTGATATACGAATCTCACGACATGTACATACACGTGAACCTATGTGTTAACATACGCATATGCAATAGGTCAACATCCGACCAATCGAATTCAGACCACTCTGTTGTATATCCTTCGCTGGCCTTCACATTCTAGTTCCAATTTTCATTGAAATAAAAAAAACAGAACCTGCGGAAATCTGCGGAGGAATTGAAAGCAGAGAGCGATGCCGCCATTGAGAAAGTAACACTTGAACTGCGCGTGAGGACTGACGAGCTGGCAGCTGTCGTGGTACAGCGCGACCAAACAGAATCATCGTAAGTTAATTCTGGCCAATCAATACCACTGGGTTTCGGATCGAAATTTATGTTTTGACTAATCAAAATCGGGAGATTTGGTTGATCATGAGTGTTGTACTGGTTAATAAAGAACTTGTGTCTGTGCTCCACCTTGTGCTGATAGATAGAAGTGGAATATGTTCGTCCTGTCAGAGGAAAAAAAAAGCCAATGAAGCCGTAGTCGAGCTGAACGTGTAGCTGAGTAAGCTATGATATGGGCTTGTTATTGTACTGACTGAATAGGAGCGTGTGCTGTAATCCAAGAATCCGAAATCAGTGCAAACCACGCTTAGACTTCGAGAGAAGATCCACTATCAATCGCTACCATTTGACCAGATAGAGCAACACACCCCAAATACCATACAGACTCGGGCATATTTCAGTATACAACTTGGCATCATATTTATATATACATTCCCACTCGATTGGCCTACTTACACACAATCATTTTGTACCTTGCTACACAGTGACACTCTGGATGTGTCGAGCGAACGCGTCCGACAACTGGAGAGGGACAACGAGAATCTGAGTAGGCAGTTATCAGCCATGACTGAGATGTGGGAGAGTAACAAGGTATGGGTTCGCACATGTATGTAGTAACCGATAAAACAATCCTGGAACAGGAACATGAGGAAGAGTATGTATGGATATATGATATACTCGGTATAGTGTGTACGTGTGTGTATGTACACGTTCTTCATCCCTGACCGGTATAACATCTCGCGTTTGGGAAGCTCCTAATACGACAGAGTACATACATGCATAGATAGTTTACTATGTATAGTTATCTACAAACATGTATGTGAATCGGAACCACGTAGTCCACTGATCCATACGCGTCTCTGTATGTACACATGCATTAGTATATAACCAAGCCGATATGTAATGATATAGTCAAACGCGAACCCCCTTCTTACACTCTCTTTGCGGGCGCCATACCATTCACACAACTGCATGCACACAGTAATGCATCCACACCCACACATACGAACACATGGGATCGCACATAACTCAAAAGATAAGCCCCCTTTCACGTGTCTACAGCATACATCGGCCAGACATACTTGCCGGTGACTCACATCAAACATGCCTGTCCTTCCGATTCCCATGTATATTTTGAGTGGTACAGCACACATACACAACGCCGTTGTGCTTGCTTTTACCACAAACACACACCGCATGACATTAGGACACTCCCCACTTTTCACACAAACAGACGCTCGTTGAACATATCAAAGACACCAGCCCAGTCCATGGGCGCGAGCTCAATGAGGATCAGAGGATGTTAGTCGACAGACTATCCGAAGCACTCAGTACTCTAGGCCTCGAGGGTGATGCGGAAGAGAGGTACGATGCTCTTAGTACTGCTAAGCATGTACAATGTCTAAGATATGCTATACAGACGATGCACGCGCTTAGGTTCTTGCCTTGGTGGCGTTAGCTGTGTGGACTATTTGTACGTTTCATCTTGGCAATCTGTGGTGCGAGGGTATATGCACAAGAATGTCTGGGAAGCTCGTATTTCGGATTTTGTTAAGTGTATATTCACATATCTAGGTTTATATCCACAGAGGCACACACACACACACATACACACAAACACACCCATCCACCCACACACACACACACACACACACACACACACACACACAC